GAGTGTTGCAGTAATTTATCGGACGAAATGAAGTGGAAGGGATGAGGGAAAACACTTTACAGAGAGAAAAGAGGTATGGGGGGGATGAGGGATCATGAGATATCCGGGGGGTGGTTCCATAGCAGCTCTGAGTAAAAAAGCTTGTTGTTTTCTGAGAAGTCTGCCCATTTGTAGGGCAGAGACCATTTCTGTCGAAAGGAAGCTCTGGCTGAGTCTATTGAAGGAGAAGCTTTCCTAATTTTTATCCAGTCTGCTGTGATATCCAGGCGGACAGCTTGCTTAAATTGTGCCAGTAGAGAGGGAAAAGAAGAGTTCGAGTTGAGAAATCTTCTATCCCTCCTTGCTATCCAGAGTTTAGCGTATCCCAAAAACCTCTAGCGATAACACACTCCCACCAGAGGTGGAGCCAATCTTCCAAGGAGGAGTGGGAGCAAGCATCACACAGTACAGAAATTTCCATGCCTTTCTCAGAACACCACATAGCAGTGGGGACACAGGAGTGTAGGTGCAACCACTGAAGGCCACCTAGTTTGGTTTCAAGGGAGGATAGGATGAGGTGGATGTAGAAGAGAAGCCATTTTGGGGATATCGGTTGGAGTTTGAGAGATAAAGCTCTACGTTGCCATCCGAGAAGGAGGCCTGCTTGAAGGGATTGGGGTTTTGAGAGAAAGTTGTAACCTGTCTTGGCAGAGTAATCAGAAAGAGGAAGCTTTGTGAGAGAGTTATCAGGGGCTGTTACTATCCAACCATACTCGCAAACATCCACCTTCCAGTCTTTAAGTGGAATCGCTTCCATGATAATGTGGAGAGATGGTTCTCCATGTGTAGACTTCTTTTGTTGAACTCGTACCTCTGTCATTTCTGTTGGGGAGATTATCTGGGCTTCCTTGGATTGGTGCAGGCTTGAGTCGCGGAGGAACCATTCTGAGGCTCCCACTGTCCCATCATCTCGGACTTTATCAATCCTGAAGAAGCGGTCCGGTGAGACTGAGGACTTGAACCACTGGTGTTCCTTGTACTTGCTGGTTGCATCTTCAAGAATGGAGTACCAGGATGAAGGGATAGCCTCGGTGAGCTCTCTGAGATGTTCTTGGATGTGATGTAGTCCTGTCAAAAGTGGTCGAAGCTCGGTTTTTACCTTCCAACGGTTCTGCTCCTTGTCCCAGATGTGTCTGACCAGCCAAATGCCTCGTTGCATCCACTTGAGCCCGAAGTTCCCAGGGGCTTTAGCTACCGAGAAGGGGAGGCCATCTGTGTTACGGAAGAGAGGGTTATGGAATAGACAGGTATTGAGTATTTCTTCTTTATTTGACGGTGCCTCCAGGACTTGGGGAAGCATTTTTCCCCAAGCTTTAAGGATGTTGCTCCAGGTTCTCCCTGTGGGTCTGGAGGTGAAGGGATGCATTACTAGGGCGTGCCAGACTGCTTCCGGGTCGGAGAGTTGCCAATCTTTGGCTAGAGAGTATTTTGCCAACATTATCCAAGGTTGTTGCTCAGATGTGCAAAGAGCTCTCACCGGCCATTTCGCAAGAAGGGCCCGGTTTTGGGTAGTTGGATCTAAGATTCCCAAACCGCCTGCTTTTTTCTTCTCTGTTATCTTCGACCAACTGACTTTGCTAAGGGCAGGCTGGGCTTCCGAGTCCCCTTTCCAGAGGAGGCGAGTTAGAAGGTGTCTGATGTTGGAAGCTGAGGAGGGGTTTAGTAGGCGGATGGATAGGATGTACCAGATTTTGGATGAGATGAAGGTGTTAATTACCATAGCTCTTCCCATCAGCGAAAGAAAGTGTGTACCAGACCATGAGGCACAGGCGTCTCTGACTCTGTTTTCTATAATAGAATCCTCTACTTGTGATGGATCCCCGAAAGATACCTGGATGCCCAGATAACGTTCCACATCGGTACATGATTTCGTTGGGATGCCCATGTCTAGAGCCAGAGGTTGGCCAAGCGGGGTGAGGGCTATTGATTTTTGCCAACTCACTCTCATTTCAGAGGCTGCCTCATATACCGAGAGACATTCTTCTAATGCTGAGAGGGAGGCAACTGAGTTTTCTGACATCGCAGAGAAATCATCTGCTAAAGCTGAGACCTTAATATAGTAAGAGGGGGATAATTGCAAGCACCGTAGTCGCACCACTCGCCATCCGCCAACATTGTGAATGCACCTGGTCATACACGTCTGCAGATGCATTCAAAATCTTGCCGGATGTTGACTGCTGCAACTACCGTCTTCCGCCGAACATAACGCACCCTGGTAATGAATGTATACAGACCATCTTTCTGTCCCGATGCAGTCAAAATGATGGTGCGTTGTGTTCGGGAGAAGACGGTAGCCTAGGCCGTTCTTTACCAGCTACCGCGGCTAAAGCCTGTTCTTTCCCAACAAACTGCAACAATTACATTTTTCCTCTTTTTCTTTCTGAAAGGCGACGGCCTTGAGATATCATCATTGAGCTGGGCGGCCCAAGGCGATTCATAACTATTTGGTTTTAGAGGCTCGCCCCGCACAGGCTGTCGAAAACCAGGTTTTCCACAATTTTGCATGGCCACACAGACTTTCGAAGAATTGCCGCTCAAAAAACTTTTGACACCTGTCAGGATGGTACTTTCGACAGCCGCCCTCCAGCAACCGTTTCCTCCACTGCAGCCTGCAGGTGACGGAAATTCGACAGTGGCCCGCCGACCTTTCGAAAATTGTGTTCACATTTGCGTTGTCAGGTTCGAATTTGCGTTGTCAGGGCCTGTTCCGTGACACCCGTCCACCTGGCCATGACCAAAAACCTTGCCCCTCGACAGGCTATGTGGCAAAGAGGGGGAAAACTGTTGACCGCCCGACTGTCGAAAATTTTCTGACACCTGTCGAAAATTTTCTACATTCGACAGCCTGTGTCGAGCCTCTTACTCATCGAAGTCCCATCATCAACCCCCAAGTCCCGCTTAGGGTCGGACCCCATTGCCGTGCGGATGGAAAAGACGTGAGGCCACAAAAATTGGGCAAAGTCAATTTGGAAAGTTGGAAAGTACTTTCTCCAGGACCCCATCGCAGAGGACCAAATGCGCTTCAAGTTGGAAAACCCTCTGGAAATCAGTTGAGCCAATCTTTGCCTATTTCCTTTGTTTGTTCTTTTTTCCGTTTTTTTTTTTTTTTTTTTTTTGTTGGCACTCTTCATCGCTATTGGCTGTTGCCCCCCGTCCATGGGACCGAGTTTTGGAAAAAGTTCAAGACGGCTCTGGGGGCCAACCTCAGCTTTCGGCACAAATTTGCGGCGTCGAGGTGTGGGGTCCTGCAGACACTTCCACGGAAAAGTTTTTCCTTTCCGCATTCCTATGGGGTCCGGGCCTTACCCGAGTTCTTGATTTGTGACCATTGCTTCTGAAGATTAATGACCAGAAACGAAGAATTCAGCCAAGTGGGACTTGGCCTCTGGACTCGAACTCAGGTCTGAGAATTTCAGTTGGCGGGGGCAAGGTCGCACTTGCACCGATTAGGAGATTGCGGCCGTTGATCTTCATCATCGATGGTCAGTATCGCATAATTCGTGCAAGTGGGACCTAGCCCCGGTTCATTTCCTGGGTATACCCACTGAGCTACCTGTAGGGTCGTCGATTCTTTCCCAGCAATTACGTGTTGGGAGAATGTCGTGCGTAAACTGAAATTACATAAGATCAGATTTATTTTTTTTTATTTTTTTTTTTTTCGGAAAGCTTGAAATTATATTCCAAAGTAGCAACAGAAGGAGGCCGGGGACCTCACAATTCAACCCGGAGTTATCCTCGCAGCCTCAGCCAGTTTCGCTTACCAAACCCAGCTTAGCTAATAACTCAGAATCACTCCCGCCACTATAGGTCCACAGGACCAAACCTAGCTGGAAATCCGGTCCAGCGTCCCCTCCTACTTCATTTTCCAAAAATAAGCTTTCCAAAAGTAAGCTTTGACGCACAGAGTCAAAAAGGTGAGGTAACAGATACAAACTAGCTCTGTACTTCCAAGATCTGTCCTTTAACCAAAATACTCCCACCAAGGCGTAAAACCAGGCAGGATGGGGAGAAAGTTCAATGCTCAAGGTGGGGTACTAATGCGTTCCCCATGACCAATCGTGGCCAACAACCAGGAACAGAAGGAGACCTTACCCCTATCATCAATTCTGGACAAGCCTGAGTCCCTTCCCCAAGTATCCCAAAACCACTTCCGTTGTTCTTTTGTTTTTTGGATAAGATCAGATTTCAGGGACAGACAACAAAAGGGAGGCAAGATTTCAGGGACACCTGAGGATTAATGTGGTCATCTTCTCGGTGTCGGTTCGAGTGAGTAAAGAAAGATCTGAGGGACACCTGTAGCACATCACATTCGCTGGAAACAGTCCCGATGTCTGCCGTCATGCGCAGTTTTCACTGACAGAGTGGCAATATTTGTGGGGCCGGGCTGTTCGGTCCGCCGCATAATTGGGGCCTCGATGCACAACGCACCACATGCACAAAAGACAAAAAACATGTCAGTGTATCTTTCTATGTTCTAGCGGAAGATTCATTCTCATTTTGCACAATTTGAGAGTAGTGCGGCGAGGCCCTAAAGAGAGTTGACATCGTCGGGGGAAAAAGTAAAAAAAAAAAAAAAAAAAAAAAAAAAAAAAAAAAAGGTCCTAGTGTGAGCGTGCCCTCAATTACCTGTCGTGTAACAAAAAAAAAACAAAAAGAAAACAATTACCTGTCGAATCTGGACTGGACGGCCTTTCAGGGGAAAGGGAGAGCTTAAAAGCGAAAAAGGAAAAAGAAAAGAAGAAGAGGAAAGGCAGAGCTTCGCTGATATCGCCCAGGGGGTGGAATGGTGGGAGGAGATGAATGAGAGTGGCGGCGCAAGCAAGCGGAAGTGGGGGAAAGTAAGTAATTGTTTGTAGCCGGGTCCGTGCGCGTGAATGCGTCGGGGCGCCATCGCTGGAGTCATTGCTGGCAGCACGGAGACGTCGCCAGTGGCCGCGTTGGGCGTCTCGTATCCGGATCGGGATCGGGATGAACCTATCATCGGCATCGCGAGATGGCAACGAACGTCCGGCAAAATGGATCATGGCGCGCGGGGGAAGATGATGACTGGTGCGGGGAAAGCGGGGTCGAGAATCGCTTGCTTGCAAGCTCTGTTTTTATTACTTATTAAGTTACTTTTATGTAATCCTATATAATATATTAATTATAATTACGTTGTACATTGCATACTCCTGTCGATGTCTTTAATATATACTCACAGAGTCACAGATTAGCCCTTGTTTGCTAGCATTAAGCATTATATACTGTATGTTTGTGTTTGGTAGATGTCGGTAAATTAAATCCCAAATGCCATTGCTCGTACTCGCGCCCAAAGGCGCAATTTTGGAAACGAGTGCGCGGCACTTCGCCAGCACACCAGCGGTTTCGTTTCACTTCGCCGGCGGTTTCGTTCCACTTCGCCCGCTTCCTTCCGCTGCGCCGGCGGGTTGGTTTCACTTCGTCGGCGGCTTCGTGTTCCGCTTCACCTGTGCTCCGCTCCACTTCGCCGGCGACTTATTTCCACTGCGCCGGCGACTTCTTTTCACTACGGCGGGAGGGGAGGACGTCAGCAGTTTTGTGCAGCACCCTAGAGAATAATATCGTCCTCGTTGATAGCTGAGTCCAAACGCTGTCCGTAGGAATCTCAGAGATTGATATCACTCAAAGGGGGGGGCTATAGCAGTTCCTCTGGCGCTCTTTTTTCATGCATTGCATGCGGCGCGCAGTCCGAGCCTCCGCAGGTCTGCGCAGCGGGCATTGCAAACCCATTCGGAGCTCGTGCCGCGCAGTCGAGAGCGAAGAAAGGTGGACTCTTTTCTATCTATCTTTACCCACCACGCCTTGAGTTCTGGGGACGACGACGATCCTCCTCCTCCTCCTCCTCATCATCATCATCATCATCATCATCATCATCAGCAGCAGCAGCAGCAGCATCGTCATAATGGCTGCTTCGCCGGCACAGCACGGCAGTCCCGTATACTGTCGGACAGCGGCCGTGTGCGTTTCGCAGATCATCGTCATCTACAGTCTGCTGCTTGTTCTTTTGGCATCAAGCCAGCGGGCAAACGCGCGGCTGGTTCGCTATCCTCGTCATTTTCCAGGCAGAGGAGAGGGAGAGGGAGAGGGAGAGGGAGAAGGAGAAGGCGGGCTGGGTGGGACACAAGCGAGGAGGGAGTTGGAATGGTATACTTCCTTCTTGAACTACTCGTCGACTGTGGACGAGAAGCAGGTGACTTCCGTTCCAGGATTCAGCGGCGGCGATCCTCCATCTCCTCATTACGCGGGATACGTTCATCTTAAGAGCCGGAGCGCGGTGAATAAGACGGGGGGCGAAGGGGGGAGCGGGGAGGGGGGAGGAGGAGGTGATACCAAGTCTCTGTTCTACTACTTCGTAGTCTCGGAGCGATCGCCGAGTACCGATCCCGTCGTCGTTTGGCTGAACGGAGGGCCAGGATGCTCCTCCATGATCGGATTCGCAACGATCAACGGCCCCTTCCGATTTGAAAAGCCACTCAACAACAACAACAACAACAACAACAACAACAACAATTCGTCCGCGCCGCTGCCAAAGCTGTCCGTCAATCCGTTCGCCTGGACCAAGGTGGCGAGCATGATCTATGTGGACTCGCCATTCGGAGTGGGACTGTCGCTGGGACCGCTGGGGGGGAACGACCGGTCGCCGAACGAGTCGCCGGTGCGGGACGACGTGCAGACGGCCCTCGACCTCCATGCGTTCTTGCTCGCCTGGGTGGAAGCTCATCCCGCCTTCAGCTCCAATCCTATCTATTTGGGGGGAGAATCGTACGCGGGAGTGTACATTCCGATGCTCGCGCTGACCATCGTCGAGGGCACCGATAGTCACGTCCTCCCTGCGCTCAATTTGAAAGGCTACTTGATTGGCAACGGCGTGGCAGAGTCCAAGGACTTCCTCGGCTTCGTCCCCTTTGGAACCGTTGAGGCGTGTCGTGGACTGTCGATCATCGACGAGGAGATGTACCGGTGGGTGACAGCTGTGTGCGGCTCCAGAGAGACCTTGGGCGACATCTGGCGCGCCTCCGACGAGTGTCGCTCTGCTGTTCGAATGTTTAGCGATGATTTCCTTAACTACGCTACCTATCTTAGGGTTGACATATACGATACTCTAGGGCGATGCGAGAACCAGTTGAGTAGCTTTTACGATCGCAAGTACCGGATTCTTGAGCAGAGGTATAGAGATATCAAAGAGAACCGGACCACGGCGATGGATGTTTTGGGAGTGATTGGCGCGGGGTCGATCGCTAATGCCTCAGAGTCTGCGAATGGCACGACTTCTGCTTCTGCTTCGGCTTCGCCGCGGATTGGTGGAGGCGGTTCGCGAAGTCTGGACTCCTTTTACTGTACGGATTACATGTGGCTTGGAGCCTGGTTTAACAATGCCGAGGTCAGGAAGGCGATAAATGCGAGAGCTGTGGGGCAGATTGGAAATTGGACAGATTGCACGGAGAACTTCATGTACAGGCAAAATGGAGGCAACATGGTGCCGCTGCATCGGGCCTTGACTTCAAAGTATGGATTGAGAGTGCTCGTGTACAGTGGAGATCATGATCTCGTCGTTCCCACGGCTTCCACCGAGGCTTGGCTTCGGTGCCTTGGCTATGCTGAAGCCAATCCCGGATCGCCCCTGTTGCAGAGATGGACGGTTGGAGATCGAACGGCGGGCTTGGCGCGCTTCTACGAGAACGGTCTGACTTTTGCTACCATCATTGGGGCCGGCCATGCAGCGCCCGAGAGCAAACCGGAAGAGGCTCTGCACCTATTCAGCTCTTGGATTGATAAAGCCGGTAGTTTTTCGCAATGAAGATGAAGGAGGACACAGGCTACTGCGAGAGAGCGGGTGGCTTTTCGTCTAAAAATAGATGCCTGACCAACCGAGCTACTTACTGTAGGCGGCTTGCTCCCCTCTCTTTCATTCTGCAGTTGGGTGTAGCCAAGCAATTTTATTTAGCTCTTAGTACGAAATCGATTGATCCCGCTCTCTTTTCTTTGCATATATATTTTTTATTTTTTCCCTCTTTTTTTTTTCCCTTTCTTTTGTTTTGCCCTTACGATTTTTTCGCTCTTGGACGGATACATATGCCGGCAAGAACGACACCTCAACCAAAATTTTCAGTGGTAGAAGATGTTAGGCCGCAATTTTTATACTCAGTGGGTTAGGAAGAGGCCTGTTCCCCTCTTCTCTCTCTCTCTCTCTCTCTCTCTCTCTCTCTCTCTCTCTGTGCTTCGGTAGCGCATGCGCGCGCGCCAGATAGGACTTAACACTAATCTCCCCGCAGCTTCTGAGCTGCCCCAAGGCTTTAGTACAATTGTTCTCTCCCCCCCCCCCCCTCTCTCTCTCTCTCTCTCTGTGCTTAGGTAGCGCACGCGTGCGCCAGATCCCCCCCCGCAGCTTCTGAGCTTTCCCAAGCCAAGGCTTTAGTACAATTTTTTTCAGGTCTTGACTAAATAAAGCCGGAGAAATATGGCAACGAATGACACTGGGATTGAATTTTCATGTCATGGATAAGTATGCAATGGTTATATTGCAGGGGTACGTTGATTTACGAAGGTGATCGATGCTCTGAGGCCTACTTACTGGCTTCTAGCGATGGCGTTTCACAGCCCGACCCGAGCAGGTTATTACATTCCGAAGGACCTGGTAGGGTTGGGCATGTGCAGGCTAAGTTGTTGAGGAAAGACATGGTACCAGATAAAGTACCAGGGGCCAAGTCCCACTCGCAGCGTTGAATTTCCTCAACGCCGGAATCTCTCCGGACGTGTTTTGTGGAGGTATGCAGTTGAGGAACCTCAACGCGATTTCTGCACAAAATCTCAAACACGTCCAGATTCGGGTGTTGACTCTGTTGAGGAAACTCAAGGCTGCTAGTGGGACTTGGCCCCAGGTTTGGCTTGTGCGGACTAAATTGAGGGAAGACGTAGTACCGGACAGGAGACGTAGTACCGGACAGAGTTTGGCTAAGTCCAAATGACGAATCCGTATATTACCCGAGCTCGGGTGTGTGCGGGTCTTGCCCGCAATGACGTAGATGGGCACTAATTATTTATTTATTGATCATTTATTTGTTTGTTTGCCAATGGGTAATTGGGCAGTTTTAGGGGGTATTTGAGGTTAGCAATGTTTTTTTTTCTCTTTTTTTTTTTTATAGCAATCTGGTATTTTAATTAACCTGGGTTCTCCAATCATTCCGTAACTTTCTGGGCTGTTATATTTAACAATCTGCAAATTAATCTACGGCTGATCAGAAGAGAAATCGGATGCATCTCAAGACCATCAATTTGGCAGTTGATTTGGGCCCGGCCAAGTGTGGATATACTCAAGGCCGTTGTCCCGTAGAAAATGAGAAAAGAGAAAATAAAGGCTGCAATTTTCGGCCATCTGTGGATATCTCTGTGTTTTTTTTTATAAATATAGTCCAGTGCGAAACCCCCTATGTGATAAGCCAAGCCAGGATCCGTACTCGGAAAGGCAGGGCCTATTTTTCTTTTCTTTTCTTTTTCTTCTTCTTGAAACAGGGAGGGAGGCGGATCAGAAACTTATGATTTCTCCGCGCGGACGGTTAGCGACCATGCCGAGAAATCCAAGAAAAGGTTAGGAATTAGTGTGGGCGGGTATTTTAATTTTTGCATGATGATGTGCGCGTGGTGGATTTTCAAATCTTTGTACGCGGCGTAAACCCGTTCCCTCACTTTGCATCTCCGTGCCATCTTCCCTTCTTGCTGCACGCTCCTTTCTTGCATGCCTCTTCGTCTTCCCGTGAGTGATTGGCCTTGTAGTTGGGATGGTCGGATCAATGAGGTATGAGCGGGAAGTGCACACCACTTGAATGACCACCCCAATCTCACAGAACTTTCGACTTGCCTCCTCCGATCTTCCTGAAACCTTGGACCTTCTGTCCTGCTCATCTACACCCCTTGCCACCTGGCACCCGCACCTCGCGCTGGCACCCCGCCGCCTTCCTCGCTATAAATTATCGCAGCCCTTTCCTCTCCTTCTCTTTGACCTCGGCTGCAATGTTGTGCGAGCTAGGCGCAAGGTCCGTGGCATCGAACAGGCTTGATGTGCCCAAGTGACGGGTGAAGTGACGATGTGGGACGGGCTTAACAGTAGACTTGGGGGTAAGGCAGTCGGATCGACGGAGCGGTGGTGGAGATCGGAGGCCAGCAGCGGCAGGGCCTTGTGGCTATGGTTGTCGGTGGTTCTGATGGGTTGGAGGCTGTGCCCAGGGTGGGCAGCTATATAAGAAATTTTGAATAAGTAAGGAGCTCGCTTTTATCTCCATTGCTGCTTTGTCCAAGTGTGATGTGTGCAAGGTCCCGAAGTATGGTGCTGTGGTACGAGAGTCTATGGATGCTGAATGTCTCACTGTCTAATGTGTGAGCGCTTACAGGCGCACTTCTGGGGAATGCGGGGTGTCGACCATGTGCATTGATGCATGAGTGTGTTGGATCTCCCTCCCTTTCCCGACCCCTTTCTGAACACAACGCCGCGTGTATGCACTGGATCGACGTTAAACTCTTCCCTTTCTCTACCCTTCGTGCGCTCAGGAGATCCGGGACGATTGGGCTGGCATCGCCCCATGATTTACACTCGATAACCGGAGAGATCAGTAGCCCGCGTCTCCACAGCGCGACTGATATCTCCGCGACTCAATCGAAGTCACCTTTGTCCTGTTAACTAAACATCGACCACGACCCTGAATCCCTGAACCAGCATTCAAGTTGACGAAGAGAGAGAAAGAGAGAGAGTGAGGCTGGTTCTATCGATCCTTGCATGGAGCCAGCGTTCGTGTCGGCGGACGCGAGCACGGGGCCCTACCTGTGCTGAACCTCCGTATCGGTCCATCGCAGTGTGCTACCGTCCTTCCCGATCGCAGACCACGATAGCCTGTACTGTGACGCGGACGTGCGGAGCACTCTGTGACGAACCGAGCAGATTCATTTGTATAACCCCGCTAGGGCCTGCCACATAGGAGGGAGTGGGTGTGTGTTGATTGATCGGTTCTCTTCCCCTCCCCTGATAATGACCTACACCGATCTTACAGTGTTGCCTTGGTCCGCGGCCCACGCCACGTGACGGCATCAGTTTAATTGCCACTGACTCGCTGGTGTCGTCAGGGGGATTCGTGTTCCTGGCGAAGACTAGTCCTGGGATATGCAGGTGCGGCTGATTCCCAGAACTCTCCCGCAATGTGGGCGTGCTCCCGGTTAACTTTCGAACCTGGGTACCCTCGGCCCAACCGATACTCGGTGACACCGCGCTAGGACGTCCTCAAAGCCTCGACGAATCTGACACCGAGGCCTGAAAATTCCATATTCTTGAGCAGCCGCCACAAAGTTCGCGTGAACCTGGCGCAAAAGGAAAGCGGTAAATTCCGCTTCCTTATCCTTTTTTTTTCCTTTTCGTTTATCTTTCAGGTTTTGTTGATGGTCGATCGAGTAGTGCATCGCTTTCCGTCTCCTTTGCCCTCGACGACGATTCAAACCCAAGAGGAAAACACCTTGGTACGAAACAAGAATCCCTCGTTCCTCCCAGGCGATTCAACCCCACTGGCCAAAAATCCTCGGCCACACCCCTATTTACTTTGATCGGCGTTCGCGGGTACGGAACGGCGCGCGGGGTGTGAGGCTGGTATCATAACTGATTTGTTTCAGCTCCGAGGTTTTCTTTGGATGACTGTCAATTTTAATGGATATTTTTATTTGTTTTTAGAGATTTTTGTTTATTTTTAGGGTCACCTTTATTTTTATTTTTTTTTAAGGCACACAATGCGAGCGGTTTTGAGTTCTGAACCGTCTGGTATTGCGAACAATGATATGGGACCGATTTTGATATCGGAACCGTCATGTTGGTATGGTTATTGTGAATGGATGTGGTGATTGGAAGCGATGTGGACTTGCGGTTGATTAAGGAGTACTCTTGGAGGTTATGGTGAAGTTGAGACTGTAGAGGGCACTGAGACCTTGTGAGACTTACTGTTGAGAACACCCTGCTCGAGCGTTATCTCATTGAGTTTTCTTAGTGGACCTAACCTCTGCTCATCTGGCACTTGGAGGAAAAGGTGAACCGTCGTTCAGTAGAGCATCCACAACTTGTGGAGTTGTGGCCTCATAGTTTAAACTTCAACGACGATTAACTCGAATTTGATTGGAATATTACTCGACTTTCTTGAGTGAGCCGGATCAAACTTCTCTCAAGCTCAGTCTGTTGATTGACTCAGACTTCCCTTCACACCTGTGTGAACCCACACTTTGTTTGACCCTATTATTTTGAATGTTCAAAAGAAAAGGTAGAGTAAAGTTGTGCGAGTCATGCATGTGAATGAAAATGTCTGACTTTGGGTATGTTTTTTTTTTTTTTGCTCGTTTTTCCCGAACTTGTTTGCTCCAGATTGGTGTGCAGGTAAAAGGATGTTGTAAAGAACAAGTTTGATGGTTTCTACTCGAGAAGAAGAAAAGCATTGTTTTGTTTATACCTTCCAACTCCCTGCTTGTCAAAAGGACTTGTGGTTTTGAAAAAGATTAATTCAGTGTGTATCGTAAAATGAATGTGAATGAAATAACGCAGATAAGGTCAAACAAACTTAGTATTTTCGAGGATTGACCCTTTCTATCCCGAATGCCCATATCTATTTGTACCTGTCCAAATGATTCTCATATTCTATCTCCCTCTGTTCTTTTCGTCCAAGTTACCTTGAACTGATGAGAAATGAGAATAACTAAAACCTACTTGCAGTGGATATTTTCTCTCTTTTAAGGAAGCATCTGGGGCGGAGGTTCATTGATTTAGGAGTCGACCCTGTTATCAACCCGGAGTGGATCGTTCTACGGGGGGGTATTGGCTGATTCGGTGGAGACGGCCCGACTTCTTAGATCCGAGTTTTGTACTCGGGCAAGGAGTACCCCAGTCCAAGAAAATTAGATATATATAGAGACAGGCGTGTGTGCTCAATCTTAGGTCTGTAGTAGGGTGGAATGAATGGATTTGGCAGAGTGTCTCATCAAGTCAAAATTGGGGTAGCATGACTACCTTGTCGACTGCATCTATGTTATTGTCGGAAGCCAACTTCTCGTTGGCGGTTGTATGATTTTTGTGGAGTTCGACCCGGGGTGGTCGGATTTTATTTTGATCTGCTGTAATTCGATGTATCTAATGATTATTTTAATTATGTCAGTTATCATTTCAGATTGGATATATATTTCGGTCGACTACGGTCAATTCCTTATGATGTAAATATATGAGGGTGTTATAACTTTCTTTTGACTTGTGCCTGAAAGGACTAGGATTAATTTGGGTTCCACACTTGGTTGAGATTGTTCTAATGGACCGGCGTCTGCTTCGTACTTAGGAGATCAGCGGCCTAAGGAACGCACGACGCTCGGTTCCACATGGCGTTAACCAAGTATATATATACTACAATGAACGAGAAAATGCCCTCGACTGACTTACCTCTGCGACTGCATTTAAAAAATTTCGCATCTGGGTCAGTAGCTCGATAAGGATACGCCCCTAAGGGTGGTGAAAGCCCCTTAGGGAGGGCAAGATGTGCCCCACGGGAACCTATCATGCCGTAGGGGACTGCGAGAAGTACAACAGGCGTACCCGGCTAGAGCAACGAAGGGACGACGCAACCGCGACGGTCTCGGCGGTTCGCGGGGTTAATTTTGCGTCGTTCCCGAGTTATTTCCTTGGTTTGTTGTTGGTTAACTCCTAAGTGACATAGCCGGGAGGGCTCTCGCACTTTATGAAAAAGGCGGGTGCTGGTGCGCTCGACATCGGGACTGCTCAACCCATCCGATGTTACAACTGCAGTCACCCTGGCGACCTCGCAAAAGATTATCCAGTGTCCAAAACCTCGGGCTCAAGTAAGGTCTGTTGGACCTTCCTAAATCCAATTGGCGGCACCGACCGCTGCAGGACAAGGAAGGCTGACGACTGTTATTAATACCAGGATGAGTGAAATGGTGGCCCCGGCGGCCGCTGAAATCTGGTCTGACGAATACATGGCGGCGACCATGCTCAAGTCCAGGACCATTGGGGTAATACGCCACATCCAACAGATTACCGAGGAAAGCGACCTTGGACCTTGGAGACCCGTGTTCAGAGCTAACGACACCGGTTCCTTAGTACAAGGATGGCCAAATCGACGTCTTGGAGGCCATGAAAGCCATGAACCTACGGATCCCTATGCCTATCCCCTACCTACAGACCATTTCAAAGGCAGCCAATGAAAAACTAATTGAGCGATGCCTAAAGAACCGGCGTTGGTTCGAGGAAAGCCGAAAGGGCAAAAAGTTAGTTATAAACAATCAACCGGTGGCCGCCGAGGCACAACCCTCAACCTTGAAACCTCACGAAGCAAACTTTGTCGAA